CTCAACATGGGGGCCTATATCAAGTGTCTTGAGGAGGTAGTGCTCCTGTGGATTAAGAGGGTAGCTGCTGGAAGACCCTATATCTGGCAACAGGACTCTGCACCATGCCACACAAGGATTGGAACACTGTCATGGCTGTCATACAATTTCTGCAACCACATCACCCCTTATATCTGACCACCTAACTCCCCAGACTGCAACCCCCTTGTGAGGTGCAGTTGAGTGAGACACCAACAAAACTCCTTGAAAGATCAAAGATGAACTGAAGGCAAGGATTATGGCAGCATTCACCAACTTTAACCAGGAGATTGTCCAGAAGAGATGCAAAAAATTCTCAAGTCATCTGTAAGCCATGGTTGAAGCCAATGGCAATTTTATTGAATAAATTTACTCTTTAGTATTTCAAGATATTTTTGTGTAAATTTGGTAAATATATCTGTTAAAATGAAATGTTAGTGTTGTATTCATTTTGGGTAACTTAGATGACAATTTATACATCGCACTATATATATATATATATATATATATATATATATATATATATATATATATATATTTTAAGACATTTTTATGTTTATACATTCTTGTTTTTATAGATAAAAATATTTAAGTAAATATTAAAAAAAAATGGGTGAAGCAACCGGTTTCGCTCCCACTCTTCAGGCTTCAATGGGAGATTTAAAATTAACACAGAAAAATGTACAATAAAAGGAATTGTAAAAAAAAAAAAATATGCGAAAGGAACTAGAGACAAATGACAGCGAGTCCCAACAAACACTCATGTTGTTTGCACAAAGAAGGCTTGCGGGACCCGATGTAAAGTGCCTCCAGAACTTTTAGATGAAATAAGGAGTGAGACCTGGACAACACGGTGAACCAGTCAACACTAAATTTGGCTGCACAATCTCTGTTCTTTAATAGGTGTTCGTATATGGTGGAACTATAGGTGTTCAGGACGAGTCCATTCAAAGGCAGGGTGTGATTTCTAATTTTAGTAGGAACGTATTGTTTTATTCTTATGTCTAAGCGTTGAGTTGTTCTCCCTCTGTAGTCGGCTCCGCAACTACAAACGTATTTGTAAATAATTGAATTAATTTGATGGGGAGGGAGAACGTCTTTACATGCATAGGCCGAGTTTGAAAAATAATCCGAACTTCAGCAGAGAAAAAACAACAATGAACATTGGATGATTGTGTTAATTTTAAATCTCCCGTTGAAGCCTGAAGATCAGGAGCGAAACCGGTTGCTTCACCCATTTTTTTTTTATATGTCTTGTAATATTAAGTTTTATACTTTTATTTTCGATATATATATATATATATATATATATATATATATATATATATATATATGTATGTATGTATGTATGTATGTATGTATGTATGTGTGTGTGTGTGTGTTTTGTTGTTATGAATCCACAACATAGAAAGGAATGAACCCAAGTTAAATAAAAACAATGAGAAAAAAGGTGGGTTCGCTCAGAAAGGAACACATAAACAGGTACCATTGTAAATAAATTTTATATAACAAAATACAAAATATAGGAAAAGTATGGAGTAACAGATGTACAATTAATAAAAGATCACTTAACTGATATTGGATGTCAGTTCAAACATTTGTATTTCAGGAATTTACAGTTTGAATGTTCATAGTGCCAGACAAAGTTGCTGTTGAATGTTCACAAAAATTGGGTATTTTTTGTTCTGCAATGTAAAATATAAAATTCAATAATCATATGTGTGTTTGATTTCCCCTTGGTTACTTGGATTGCATCCGAGATAAAAGCAAAATGTTTTCTTTATATCTATTTGGGTACAATATTACTTTATCCTATACACATTAAATAGTCAAATATATACAAGATCTCCGGGATTAAATTTCCAAATAACTTTCACAACAATGGAATTCATAGGTTTCTGGGTGTATTTTTTATCCCTCATGATCACAAGATGTAAGTCTATTTTTTTCACAAACTGTTGTCCTTGGAGGTCATTGGGAAAAAACTAAAGTTAGAATACCAAAATGCCACTTGGTGATGTATGTCAACTGAGCATAGGTAACTGATTCTCACTCACTTTCTTAGGAGGTCATTCTGTTTGTTGCCAGGCAACCCCAAATTCCTTTCTTCTCACTCTTAGCCAATACACAACCAGGGAGTAAAAGAAAAAAGAGAGAAGAAGAAGGAGGAGGAGAAGAAATGCAAAGACAGAGTATCTCTTATAAAAATTGACTATACGTCTGATTCACCAGTTAAAATTGTGTCATATCACAGTATATATATATATATATATATATATGGTACATGCCATCAGTAATTACACAGAGTAAGCAGATTGTGAACTTTATGATAAAAGAGGTCAACTCTGTATAATAAAAAGAACCAACCCTATATAAAGCAATTTAGCAAATACGGTCAAAAAGAGGTCTGCAAAATACAAAGCAAACAATCACCAAGAAACTCTACTCTACTTAAGTGATAACACAATACCCATTAAATGAAAAATCACACATCCATACAAAGATATCAAGTTACACCAAACTATATATAAATATGAAAAAATTGAGAAGTAGCAGCAAAGAAGCCAACAGCTCTGAAGAGTGAAAGCATTACTGCAATGCTCTCATGAAACTTTGAAGTCAGAATGACTGAACCAACAGGATAAGTGATAATTTCTCCACATTAATTCTACTAACTCGCTATCCTTACCTTTTGATATCAAGCACTTTATGACAAAAAATTGCTTGCCTAAATTTCTTTCCCACCCAAAAACTGCGGAAAAGAACAAGCAATTTTTGCACCTAAAAACTCTTTGAACTTAATACTATAAATATATCGGCCTGATGATTGCGTCTAACATGAAACAGTCCCTCGCCTCTGAGTGTTGACTTCAATGTTCACTTTTATATTTACATACATTCTATCTCTGATATTGAGCACTTTATCCCATAAATATGATGAACTATATTTTAATTATATATATATATATATATATATATATATATATATTTATTAAAGACATTTTATTTATGTTTTAACGTTGTTATTTTTATAGATACAAGTATTTAAGTAAATGCTCTGTTTTATGATAAAAATTAAATAACATTTACGGCCTGAATGTCAAGAAAATAGAAAATATTCGTTCATAGACAGGATTCGAATTTGCATCCTATGTGGAACCGCCAAAAGTTGGCGTGCCTTGACCACTCGGCCACCATGAACCTTATGGTAGACAAGGTCGAATTTACTGTTATAAACTACAATCTTCCATGAAATACATTTCATAACTGCTCTGGCGGAATGTAAACAAATGGCGTCATATGTTAAGAAATAATTCGAGGTCCGACAATTTATTTATTAAGACATTTTTATTTATGTTTAACGTTGTTATTTTTAAACAATATTTCAAATGCCTATTTATGATAAACAGTATTAAATAACATTTACCGGCCTGAGAAAATTTTCATGTTCATTGCATCCTATCACCTGGAACCGCCATATACGCTGGCGTGCCTTGACCACTCGGCCACCACCTTATGGTGACAATGTTCTTCTACAATCTTCCATGAATCTCGTACATTCATAACTTTTTCGAATGTAAACAAATTCATATATTTAAGAAACATTCAATTTATTTATTAAAGACATTTTTATTTATGTTTAACGTTGTTGTTTTTTTATACAAGTAGCAAAAAGGTTCATGGTGGCAGTGGTCAGGACATCACTTTTTAGGATGCAGGTTGAATCCTGTCTATATCGGACATTCAGGCGGTAAATGTTATTAATACTGTTTATCATAAACAGAGCATTTCATTACTTGTATCTATAAAAATTAAACATAAATAAAAATAATATTATACCTCGTCCATTTCTTAACAAATGACGTCATTATATACAGAGCAGTTATATATATATATATATATCTACCATAATTAAGATAAGCGGTTCATTAATGCAGGTTGGAATTGTCTATGAACGAATATTTCAGAAAAATTTGATAAATGTTATTTAATACTGTTTATCATAAACTTCATTTGCTTAAATACTTGTATCTATAAAATAACAATTCATAAAAAAATGTCTTTAATAAGATGGTCCATTTCTTAACTGTATATATATATATATGATTAAGATAAGTAAAATTTTGCTTCTCAGATGATTGATATTACCTTCAGCATCTTGACTCCAGAGTTTTGTAGATGGCCCTGTCTGTCCACTCTTCAGGAGATATCATATATATATATATATATATATATATATATATAATCTGCACATACATTTCTGTCATGTAGCAGGTTTGAATTACATTCACTTACGCAAATACTTTTGGGAAAGGTATGAATTCATCTTTTCCCCCCATGTATGAGTTAAATAGTAACAAGTGAATTTGGAAAAAATCAGTTATTCTCAAGAAATTCTCAATCCAATATTTATTTGCCAAAAAAAAACAGGTTTTGCCTTTAAATAACTCATAAAATGTTGATAAACCATAAAAAAAACAAATCAACTCTCATTACTTAAATTTTAAAAGTCTATTGTTGTCATTAAAATGTTATGTTTGAAAATTTATTTGCAGAACATCAAACATTTTTGCTGTCAAAGCAAAAATGTTTGTTGAATTAAGAGTTTCTCAGTGTGACTTGACCTTGTCTCTTGCAATTATTATTTGCTTCGATAAGCTTATCTTTTTAGAAGATAAAGTTCTGCCTTGTATGTTTTATATTTGAATGCTTTCTTAAAAACAGTTTAAATTTCTGGCTCTGATAAGAAACACAAAAATAGAATTATTTTACTTCAGCTTGTTTATTTTAATGCTATGCTTTCATAACTTCTTGAACCAATTCCATCATTAATCCTCTGAAGATAGTAATCTTCTTTTGCCATTATTTTATTTGAATATTCTTGGAATAAATAATTCAATTTTGCATGCACCTCATGAAATTAGTGCAAATATTCAGCAACATGTAACCAAATCTATAATCATTAATCTATTTTACTATCAATGTCAATATTCTTTGCATACTTTCTCTCTTGGTAATTTGTCTTTTCCTTATCAGACAAATTTAAATATTTTGCTTAGTCAACAAATTGTCGCACAACTGAAAACTTTATATTTTTCTGATTATAAATCTTTTTGCCCTTATGACTCAATAATGTTGGAGGTGCACAGGGAACCTGGTGTTCTGTGTTCAAATTTTGGTTGATTCTGTTTCCTTCAAAATGCTCAAGAAAACATCATAAATCCATTTTCCTCTGGCTTTGGGCTAAATACCAGAGCAGAATGGGCTATCTTGTTTTGAGGTGGTAATCAGCCTAAGAGAAGGAAAACTTTTAATTCAAGACCAGCCTGAAGAGAGACAGACTCTGTTAGACTAGCTTGCCTAAGCGACACTACAGCTGCTATCGCTGAAGTGTGCTGCTCCAGTGACCCTCAGGGGTTACAGGGATTGTCATATGATCTGATTTAATATTTATGTATCTCAAAGCAAAATCATTTTAAATTATGTCTTAAGGTTAAATTAGTGATATCAAATAATCTTCAACATGATAATGAAGTAAATTATCATTCAATAGAAAGTAATATTATTATTATTATTGTTTTTATTTCCTTTGATTTCTGGTGTGTACACATTTCTTTCCGGGTCCTGCCCAGAGACCTAAGGTTAGAAATGACATCATGACACTTTCCACTGACAAAAAAAAAAAATATATTTTACATAGATAAAGCCCTTTGTAAAGTGTGGGCTGTACTTGTGAGAACAATTTTTTTGTATTTCTTTAAGGCATGGGCTTCCAGGAATCTCTTCAATTAGTCTACTGGAATCTTTTCCAACCAATCCTACAGCTCCAACTACAACAGGGATTGTTGATGTTCCTATGTGCCACATTTATGAAATTTCGATTTCAAGGTCCTTGTATTTTGACAACTTATTGAATATCTTCAAAGATACATTGCAGTCAGCAGGGACTGCCATATCAATAAGGAGGCACTTTTTTTGTTTGTGGTCTTTAATAACAATATCTGGGTGGTTGGCTTTGATTATTTTTATTATTATTATTATTATCATTATGTTGACATAGTCAATGTAAGTTCTGTGCTTGAGTCAGAGTGCAAACAAAACTCCTCATAAACTGAAGAACTTTTCAGAGAATCCTTGCAGAGTAAATGATAGCAGTTTTCTGGATCTCTACAATCTTGGTCTCAATTCCAATTCTTCTTAAGACATTCTTTTCAGTTTTCTAGGTGAGGTTCCAAGAAAGAGGAATTAGTTTCACATTCATATTCACTAGATTCTTTTGCTCTCAAGCTTGATCCTGATATTTTTCAATCTTTTCAGTTTCTTTGGAGTTTCTTTTCAGTTATTCTTGTGTCAACAATAGAACAACAAAGTTAATAACTTGACAATTGCTATTCTCCTTAGTCTTTGTGCTTCAATGACATGATCTTTTTGAACTGAGAAAACCCATAATTTTAAAAATAATAATTATTATTATTACTGCTGCTCAGTTATTGCTTGCCTCATTTCCAAATCTTCCAATAGGCTGGGAAATAACTCAGCCATACTAAATAAGAATTAGATGAGATATACATAGAGATAGTTAACAAGATGAGAACATTTTACCCCTGTAGATTAAATAAAGTGTTTAGTTCAAAATAAACTGAAGGGTGCAATGTACAAAATATTGTTATCACAGCAACAAAGATAAGGGCAGTATTTCGCTTGTACAAGACACATGCAACTACTCACACTTTACCAAGTTTTGAATGCATTAGAGTTCTAACCATGAGACCTGGATTCAAATCTCTTTCTGATAATTTGACAGAGAGGTGCTTTCTAAATAATATTGTCTTGGGGAGAGAATCCCAACATCTGTGCTTCATAAGTCATTAACTGATTTGTTATTTACTTCTTATCGACCCTTTGTGGGCTATTTCAAGCCAAAACATATTTCTGGAATTTTATCTGAATTTCTGAGATGAGGAGTTATTATTATTTATTTTTCAGACTATCATCCTCATCTTTGTTGCTGTTATCACAACCTTTTGGCTGTTGTACTCTCCAAGTTTCATCAGAATAAATATATATTGATCAGGTTAACTTGCAGTGAATTCCAAAATGAACCCTTTATTTACCCTCACTTATTAAATAAAGGGTTTAGTTTGGAATTCTTGGATTGATATGTACCTGATAAAGGGGAAAGGACATGGTGGCTGAAATGTTGTGATAACAACAACAAAGATGAGGACAATAGTCTGAATGTAAATAGTTTAAATAATATTTTGTGGATTGTAGATACAATTCTATTTTTGCAAGTGCATATTGCATTAACAATTCTTTGGAAATAATAATGATTTTCAGATACAAATTCTAATACTTAACCCATGGCTGGTGGAAGGAGAAGTGGACTCGTACCTCTGTCGAGAGTATTTGCATATAAATAAATATAACAAGCCCAACTGGAATTTGAACTTGGCTCTCAAATTTCTCAGTTCAAGCTGTTATTTATTACACCACCCACATATCTAAGCTTACAACACCTAGTATTCCTGAGCAGTCACCTACCTTGGCACTGACCGGGCCAAATATGGCTTAACTTCAGTGATCAGACAAGAATTGTTTTTTTTAATATGATATGGCTGTAAGTCTGATATCAGTGGCTACCTGACATGTGAACATATGATCTACTCAGGTGTACCTGAGATTTGCACACATGGAAAAAATTATAGGATAGATATATAAACATTCCAGAAAGAACACTCTCATACATACATATATACAAGAATGTAGGATCTATGTTTGAAGACAGCCCCGGGCCACACATACACACACTAACTGTTTGACAAAGCCTGGAGCTGAATAAAATGTAATGCTGAGAGATTTTGATTAGTACTGTGCAGAGTGGGGGGGGGTCACTCATATTACACCAACAAAAATAGCCTCCTGTTCACAGGAATAAAAACATACACTAAAAGCATGTTAAACTGTAAATTAAAATCATACAATTTATTTATTTTTATGAACTGGTGTGTCTGTGTGTATTTTATTACTTTGTTTTAAGGTTGCAGGTGTTAAATGGAGGAGGCAGGGTAGATTAATGGATAGCAGCTCGGATTGAGGAATCAGAGAGCCAAGTTAGAATTCCAGTTGAATCCATTACATTCACTTACATGCTGATACCATTGGGAAAGGTATTAATCCTCTTCTTTTCCACTCCCCCCAGCTATGGGTAAATAGCAGGACAGAACAGATTATATTCCCTTGGATGGCAACTGGTCTCCCACAAAAAGAAATGGCAATCTACTGCAGGAAAAGAATCTGCCTCGTCAGTCATGTATCGAAAGATACATGATCACCTAAGCATGTATCATACATGGCACATAATTGACTGTGTTAAAAGGAAGAAGTCACATTGTATTATAACAAGCAATATCCCAGAGAGAGGAGCTGGACGTCTTGAATTTCCATTAAAAAAAGAAGGAATTCAAAGTCCTTTGGAGAAGACCATTTTTCAGCAGGAAAAATTTCTGCTGCATGCTGGGAGAACATTTTATTTTTTTGGTTTATTTATTTTAAACAAAGTTTTAACATTATTTGTTTTATTTTATTTGATATTCATTATTATTACTACTTTCTATTTTATTTTTTATTTATTAATAAGTAATAACATTACAAATGCAAATGAATTTGTGATCATACTATTGCTTATTGAGTAACAAGCAAAATTTTGGTATTTTTTTATAGAATAACAAAGCATTCAGGAATAGTGATAGAAAGAAACATCAGTGACTTTTTACTAGTGTTATGATATGTATTCTCTCTGACAGATGTCATCTGTCAAGAGAAGATAACACTCCCATAGATATAATGATACTGCCTTTTATACAGTACCTCATTTACATATCCCTAAAACTAGAATTATTTTATTTACATTATTTAAATTCAAATTATTGTCCTTATTTTTGCTGTTATTATCACATTTTACCTGTTGTAACCTTTAGAGAAATTTTAAAGTAACCCTTTATTTTATTTAGAGGGGAAATTTTTTCTTTTTTCAGATTCACTTGGTTATTTTACCATGAGACAATGATGTAGTGGATTAAACATTGGCTCATGAATTTGGTGGTATAATTTGTGAGTTCAATCCCTGGGCCAGACAATGTACCCTTGGACTCAAAACAAGACGGGCAATAATTTTGTATTTCTCAAAAGCCAAATGAGATTCTGCATGATTAGGGGAAAGTGATAATTCATAGTCAGCAGAATGATAACAATCTACCTCCATAGATTGAATAAAGGATTCAGTTCCAAATTCCCTGAAGGTTACCCAGATCAAAAAGCACCTGATCAAGACCAGAGGACAGTCAAAACATTGTGATAATAATAACAACGATTAGAACAATAGGCTGTATATAAATAATGTAAGTAATAACTCCTCCCTAATCTTCTTTTCCTGTTTTCTTTCCCTTCCTGTCTTCTTTCTCTTCCTTTCTTCTTTCCCTTCTTTTTTTCTTTCTTTTCTTTCCTTCTTTCTCTTCCTGTCTTCTGTTCCTTCCTGTCTTCTTTCGCATCCTGTCATTTTTCCCTTCCTGTCTGCTTTTCATTTTTATCTTCTTTTCTTTCTAGTCTGCTTTCTCTGCCTGTCTTTTTTTCCTTTCTGTCTACTTTCCCTTTCTGTCTTCTTTTCCATTTCTGTCTACTATCCCTTTCTGTCTTCTTTACCATTCCTGTCTACTTTCCCTTTCTTTCTTCTTTTCCATTTCTGTCTACTTTCCCTTTCTGTCTTCTTTTCCATTTCTGTCTACTTTCCCTTTCTGTCTTCTTTTCCATTTCTGTCTACTTTCCCTTTCTGTCTTCTTTACCATTCCTGTCTACTTTCCCTTTCTTTCTTCTTTTCCATTTCTGTCTACTTTCCCTTTCTGTCTTCTTTTCCATTTCTGTCTACTTTCCCTTTCTGTCTTCTTTACCATTCCTGTCTACTTTTACATCCTGTCTTCTTTCCCTTCTTGTGTCCCCATAATGAAAAATAAATAATATTTATACCTCTGGGGTACTTCAGTTTTTCTTCTTCTATGTGCCATGTCCCTTTAGGATGTTAGTGATCAGGGCTCTCTGTAATTTTCTATCCTATGTAGCTTTTAGTAAATTTTGTCTTTTTGCCATCTTTAACATACCCTGGTATACCATCCATTCATCCAAGTTTTCCAGGTAGGTTGTACATTACTTTATTCTGTCTCTCTTATGGTCAATCTGTCCTGTGAATATCAAATTTTCCAAGCCCTCATTCCTCATTATATCTCCTAGAAACCTCAACTGTTTTTCAGCAGATTTTACAAATTTTTAATCTCATAACAAATTTTTATTACAAAAAAATAAATAAACTGTGAATTGAGTAATAAATTAAAGAAAATAAAATTGGAAACTCAATTAAAATAAAAATTTTGAATGTATTTTTTCTGCTGCTGTCACTAAGAGGGGGATGAATAAAATCCTACCTGATGGTCATCCCAGTAAGAAATGGACAACCATTTCTATATTGCTTTATTATCTATGTGAAGAAAAATGGTAAACAAACACATGTACAGTTTACTTTCTTCCATGATTACTTGCATGGATCATCTTAACTGCATTGCTACTATATCTATTGTCAGTCATGGCAAACAAATTAGTTTGAAAGGATATGTTAAGTCTGTATAAAAGAAGTTGTCAATGCAAATGTTAAAACTCATCAGATTTGTAAATATATCTTAAACAAAAAATTTTTTATTGATTTTCTAACAATTGATTTTTTAAGGCTGGCGTCAAAATTGTATGAAAAACTTTTGTGAAGACAGGAATCAGTGCAAGTTAATTAAACAACCAAAATGCTAACGATTTCATTAAATGGAATCGTGCAGTCTCATCTGTTTGTTCTTTGCTCTTCATGAAAATTCAAAAAAACAAAAATAAAAAATAAAAAACAGTTTTCTTGTTTGTTATTGCATCCTTTTTTGCATATACTTTTTCCTATTGGAAAATGCACACTTTTTCTAAAACATTTTGCTTCAAAACCAAATGAAAAACATATCACCTTATTCTTAAATAAGACTGTAAATCCTCCTTTATTGAAAACTTTAGAAAAATGTACTATATTTTCATAATAATCTACTTCTAAAATCTTATTGAAGAAGGAATGGTGAAGTTGTACATATATCTGCCAAGGAATTATGTATATATTATTATATTATCACCCACTGATGTTAATCACAGGCAGCATATTATTTGAAAGGCTCATCATCTTTTCCCTTTGACTTTCAGAGTGGCAAGGCACTTTTTATTTCACTATGATAGACACAAGGCATGTAAGTACTTCAGAGATACAGACTGAGGATTGTATTAAACTTGTGGGTTACTCCTCTTGACTTTACTAAAAAAACATCATTAGGGGATACTCCTTAAGCCTATAAAGAGGAAATGACATTCTCAGTCATTCTCTCTTTCCTCTCTTTTACAACTCCAGCAATAAGATGTAGTCACATGTGGCAAGAAAAGTGTCCAATACTGGGGAACATTCACTTTGCTTTTAATGTAATACTTTTTTCTCAGACTTCTCCTCCATACATTTAACACACACACACACATTCTCTATGTTTTCTATGCAATTAGTACTTAAATAATTTTTTTCCTTTATTGCCATTGTATACTTTTGTTAATACATATATTGTCATTTGTTTTATGTACTGTTTTGTGTTTATTGCTCGGACTTATATTCAAGTCTGCAATAATTGTTACAGGAAAAATATACCAGGAGACATGTGTTTTCTACATAAACACAACTAGCATTACCCTCAACAAACTGTTCATAACTTTGACTTTGTTTCTTCCTTCTGTAACATTATTGTTTCTTTGTTTGAATTCCATGTTTTATATCCCTTTATGACCAGTTTCTCAAATACTGTTTACATGACAAATGTACCAGGAGGCATAAAATTATGATATATAAAGAAATATAGTCTTAAGATGTGCTATAGTTATGGGGTAAAGTGCTCAATATCAGAGATAGAGCATGTGTAAATATAAAAGTGAACATAGAAGTCAATACTTAGAGGTGACAGTCTGTTTCATGCTAGATGCACCTCTAAGTATTGACTTCTATGTTCACTTTTATTTATATATATATATATATATATATATATATATATATATATATATATATATATATATATAAATTTAGATAATTCCAATTTAACCGTTTTCTTTTAATTTAAAAAAAATTATAGTCATGTATGTTTGCTTGAGAAAGGAGTATTTTTTTTGAAGAAAGGAGAGATTTGACACATTTAATATCAAGAAAGCCACACTTATTATAAAGTAACTTGAGAGTACTGCTATTGAATCTTACCAAAATATAAACGTGTTTCCTGGTTTTATCAATTATCTGGTTTCCTCAAAGAAATACTTCTTCCTGAAGCAAATAGAAAAAATTATGAAAAATTTTGAAAATTAAAGGAAAACAATTAACTTCAAAAACTTCTATTCTTAATCTCAAACTAAAATGATATAAACAGTAACTGCATTTTAAAAAATAATTCAACAATAATGACTCACTTTTATATATTAGACATTAAATTATATCCCTTAGAGTCTGCCATAATTTACCTTAACTTTCAGTTATCGTATATTTATGAGTGTTTTTAAATTTACAAATTCTGAAAAACTTAAATTTTTACTTCTGTTTATAAATACTTGTTACAAAAAAACTTACATTTGACTTGATAAAGCCTATCAGAGGATGAAACATGTCAGCTTAAATAAACTTTCCTTTTTCCGTTATTCATATATATATATATTTCAATAATATAATATAGTTTTCAATCTGCTAGTCTGACTCATCTTCAAGAAGTGAGAGCAAGATCTAAAAGGTCAGCCAATCTAACAGTGATCTCATCCAACAATCCTCACTCTGGCTCCATATGTAACCTCCTTTGTAAATCACTAGTGAGTCTGAAGTGCCACTTAAGATTATCGCACCAAATTTCATAACCGAATCAAATGGTTAAGTTTTTTAGATCCTCATATGTCGAAACCAATGAGAGAGTCCATTATACACACACACACACACACACACATATATAAAATATATATATATATATATATATTCTGTCTTCCTGAATTATGTTTTTTTATTGTCCTTTTCTTCACCTCTTACTAAAGTCTTCTCAGACTCTTTTACTTCTTGTAACTCCCTGCATCCTTGTGGCATTATTTGCTTGCTTGGAGTGAAATGATTAAATGAAATATATATATATATATATATATATATATAATTTTTTTTCACTTAACTGGGCAGTATTTCCATTATGCTGAATAATAAGTTATAAGTTTTGCAGTCATATATATATATATATATATATTACTTCTCTTCAGAGTGGAAAATTAGCAATTTTGGCTTCAAAAACAGTCTCTCTTCTAGACCAGTTGCCACACAAGGCTGTAGCCACCAATTTGTTCTACAATCTAACCATAGCTTAGGGTGAAGTGATAGATTCATACCTTTCCCAAGGTTATTTGCACAATGAACTTGGCTCTCTGATTCTTCAATCTGAGCCACTATTGATTACACCACCATGCATCTTGAGGGTTGGGGGGTTATTTGTGTACCCTGTGGCACACTATGTACACTAGGTCTCTAAATTCAGATCTTCCAAAAAATGTAGTTGATTCTGCACAAGCCTTAAACAATATAATCAAATTATATGTATGAGTAGCCTGGCAATTCGGTTCTAAGAACTTTGTTATTGTGCCCTTATATTAATGAAGACAACAGGAGAGCCCCCAGTATGTATATATATATATGTATGTATATATATATATATATATATATATATATACATACATACATACATATATAACAGTTCAAAAGTTTGAAGCCACCCTCTTAGAGTCATTGAAAAAAGAATGGAATCATTTTTCAAACTTTGAGAAACGACTGTGATGAATGCCAAGAATTCATGCTGCAGTAATCAAGGTGGATATTTTGATGAAATGAAAATTTAATCATACAATGCTATTTTTAATTTTGTCATAACAAAATTTCTAATAAAAATCATATGTCACTTTTTTAACGATGTTTAATAATTTTCTCTTATCTGAAGTACAAAACAACTACATATTAGGCCAATTTAAAAATTACAAGAGGTTTCCTTAAACTTTTGAACTGTAGTGTACATATATATATATATATATATATATATATATATATATATATATATATATATATAGTTAAGGTAACAAATCCATTGGTATATATTCCAAGTGCATCCTAGTAATATAAAATATTAAAATTGATCAACAAAAAAAGCTCAATGTATTTATTCTTACAAAGCAAATAATTAATAAACAATAAAATCCCAAATCACCAAAATCTCCACAGATGGGGAATAACCCATTTCGATTGATAAAAATATCAGTTGTCTGTCTTAGCAACTCTATTCTGTCAAAACTCAGTCCACACCAGGGTTGATAAGAAAGACAACTGATATTTTCATCTGCCAAAATAGTCTATTCCCCATATGAGATGATTTTTGATTTTATTGTTTATTAACTTCATTTTATATATATATATATATATATATATATATAAAAGGTTTATTCAGCAGTATTTATTTCTAACTTAACCCTTGAAACATGAATGTCCTTGGGGACTAAACCCTTTTTCTGCAGGTACTTGATAATACCACAATGTCAAATTTTGTCCATTTTCAAGAGAAGTCGCTACTAGTTATGGTTGAAATCAGTCAGATATTAATTTACTTACCATTAAACAATGTGGTTATTAATGGGAATATTTGCTTCATAGTCAGCCTGTGAACTTTTCAGCTCACCCTCATAGCTGGAAAGAAATAATGCAGTTATTAATAAAAAGAGTTGAATTAATGAATGCAAGATTTCACAGTTCTAGCATCATTCTGTCATAGTCAGTGTATGAACTTTTCAAACCACCCACGTAAATATCAGTTTTCAGTCAAAAGTTGAACACCTGATTTTATTTTAGAAAATCTAGAAATCTTGATCTCCACTCAAACAAATATGAAGTCATTTTCTTCTCTTTGTTTAAACTTGTTTCAGATAACAAAAAACAGTTTCGTATAAAAATCTGGGTCAAATATCTTGTCTTGTAAGGGACATTTCAACATTGTATTTGTCCAAAGACATTGTTGGTTCCAATGTATATTGGAATGACGATATTCAGTCACAAACTGGGGCATCATGTGGCACAAGGCTGGTTATTTAATGTGGGATCTCTGAGCCTGTGGGCTCAGCCCAAAAATATGCCCATTGAAACCATATAAATGGGTTTACCTTGCTGAAAGAGAATCCGCCCTTCAGCATAGCCTTCTTTGAGTTCCTCCCTGCCCAAAGGCAGAGAGTTCAACCGATCAGCCAGTCGACCGAGATCGACTTGAACTACTGACTCAGTAGTCAATGTATATTGGAATGACTGAAAAAAAATGTCCACCTCACCAAATTTATAGGCAAAACACACAGATGTATGCTGGGATTTCTTCCTAGCCAATGAGATAGGTCACTTCTTTCTTGTCTTGAAGCCAGAATGCTATAATTGTTTGTCTATGTCCCATTTGTATGTTAACACCATTCTTAGTTTATGAAGCTTTTGCCATATTACTGTTGCTTGTGCCTTGCATATATTGTTTGCTTGCTTTATATTATTTTTTGCCCTGTTCTTTTCTTTTCTTTCTCTTGTTATTGTTTATTACAAACATTGTCAATTTTGTTTGTTAGGCATTTCTGCCAATTACATTTAACCATGGCCAATTACTCTACAGACATTGCAAAGTTGTATGCAGGAAAAAGTATATTCCAGCTGTGAGTCTGAGAAAGAATATTCCAATATTGAATGTGGCAAAGGATTATTTTGTTGTGCATTTGGCAAAAGATATTCCTTTATTGCCAAAAGTTTATTTTTCTGCTTTATTTATTTTGATTCAATTGAATAGTTTTTTTCCCCATGTCAGTAATATTAAAACCATCACAAATAAATAGACGTCCATAATCATAAAACATTCATTAAGATGGTCTGTGTATTTGGTAATGCTAATGATAATATTAGCCATTTCCTTATAAGGAAATCTTTCTCTTAAAACAATTTTTCAGAAAAATAGGTTATCTCTCTTTCTAGTATTGATAGGGGTTTCCTTCCTAATCTTTTATTTGAAGTTGTGTGGAATGTCAACATCTTATGTCATTATTTTCTCCTCAAGTTACATGTGATATCCATTTGTTGCTGCTACTTAAAATCCTCAAGTGATGTAGTTTTATTCTGCAGCAGTCTATTTTGTAATTTGGTTGTAATTGGATAAAAAAAAGGAAAAATATTATTTTCATGTGTATGTATATATATATATATATATATATATATATATATATATATATATATATATATATATATATATATATATATGTATGTATGTATGTATGTATGTATGTATGTATGTATGCATATATATAGTGTATTGGGGCAGCAGATCATTATTCAAACATATATTGTTAAATATAACAGACAATGAATGTCTATTATGTTTGATCAGGAGCCATTCTAAACTTCATATGGTTGCTTTAATTTTGGGTGAAAATGAAGACAAAACTTGTCCAATATTTGGATATTTTTTATTAAGCTGTTTCTTGATGTGAGCTTTCAGCTCACATGAGCCATCTTCAGCATGGTTATATAGACATTTGAACAAAGATATTCACTATCAAAGATGATATTCTGTTATGATGACATAGAAGATTGCTCTGCGACAATAATTGTTGCAGAATAGCAGATGCAGCTTGTAAGTTCAAGACGTGATTCTATAACGTCATACCACATGAGAGACCAAAATATTAACAACAGAACCATATGTCTAGATGCAATGTAATTAGATGTTACTAGTTTGAAATGGAATACAAAAAGTAACTTACCTAATGAGTTTGCGTAAATGGAAGGTAGAACAGGGAATGGAAAAGACGGTAAAAAGACAAATATGGCCAAAAGCTACAAAGGATAGGAAATTATGGAGAGCCATAATCGCCAACATCCTGAGAGAACACAGAACATAAAAGAAGAAGAAATAAATACAAGAATCTCTAAAGAGTTTATGCATCATTATCATGCTTACTGGGGTTTTAGCGCTGTGTAGATGTTGATGGTATATTTGATGTGAAGAATAAATGCAAACTCTCTTGAGTTTAAACATAGAACAACCATGAATTACATCATAAATTGTACAGTCAAGTATTTATCTCAAGTAGAAATGGCAGAATTATCAAAAGAAAGAAGTTATATCACGAACAATAAGAAGATGAAATAACAAATGAGGACATTTATATTCTTCTAAAAGCATACAATAAAGTAATAGCAAAATAAAATAAAAAAGCATATTCCAAGTTTTACTATGATCCACCTAACTTTTATAAAAAGTCAAATTAAATTGATCCCCGTGACATATAAACTCTGTAGGAAGAAGTAATGCTATGAGATAAGAATTACTTTGTGGCCTAATCTGATTTAATCATAAAACAGTTTATTTTATGAACTCTCTTATTACTCTCTTTCAGAAATAAATACCTGTCCTCTTTCTGTCAAGCTGGCAATGAATGTCACAGCCATTTTCATGGCATTACATGAGTAGATTAAGTATTTATGTGATTTAATATGATTTTGATTTGTTTTTGTTTTTTATTGCTTATCAATGGGTTATTTAAAAGGCAAAATATATTGAGTGAATGTAGAATTGAGATTTTTTGAGAATAACAGATGTAAGTCAAAAGTATTTCATCCACAGATTTGTGGGAGAGGAGAATTCATACCTTGGAGATGAAAGTCAACTGGGAAGCAAGAAACCAGAAGAGAATTCCACAACTGAGAAGTGCAATAGAAGAAACTATTAGCATAGAACTTGCAGTTACATCTGTAAAATGATGAGACCTTACCAATGTAGTACTGTGCTTGAATTCATGAAGTTGAGGTACAAAGATCAAACATTATCAGAATAATTACCATGAAAGTATTTATAGAAAAGGCACAGAGAAGCTATGTTAAAGTGGTAGGAAAGAGATGCCAGGTCAGGACCAATAACATTGCAGATTCTTCTTTAGATTTTATCAAAAATCTCTAAGTATATAGCAGGAGCACCAGACCAGATGTGAAAACAGTATTCAAAGCAAGGATGAATGGTAGACTTATAAATATATAAGACAGATTCTGGCAAGAAAAATTGTCTAGCACAACACAGTGAACCAACTTTCCAAGCAGAAGACCTAGAAATTGTTTCAATATAATCTTTCCACTTCATTCCAGTAGAAAACATTAGTCTGAGAAGGCACAGTGAATCACTCTCCTGGAGGGTAGCATCAGCCATGCTGATGAATGGTAAAGAGGGTTCTTTCAGACAATTAAAAGAGAGCAGTTTCACTTTTGAAGGCATTAAAATTAACAAGCCATTCCTTGCCCTAGTTAACAACAGAAATCAGATCATTTTTAAGATCAACTGCCAATTTGACTTTTTTTAACCACTCAGTCTTACCATTAAGACCAGATTAAATGTTTGTGTCATCAGCATAGCTACCGAGTTGAGAACCAACACCATCAGGAAGGTTGTTGATGAAAATTAAGGACAATGTGGGTCCAAGAATAGAGCCCTGGGTAGGGAGGATGCCTGCATTTATTACCTTCTGTCTTCTTAATTCTTATACTTTTATTGTTCTCTCTTCTTAATAGTATTTTTTCCTCATAATCACTAACCCTCAGTAACCCTTTACATCTTAGTGGTGGTATTGCCTTGTTTGGGGTGAAATGATTAAAAAGAAAAACTGATGATGACTCATGTACTCCCTCACGTTTTTGTCCTCTTTACTATAATGACAGGCCAGAGACAAGTTCATTGGGAAGATGACTGATATTAAACAGAAAAAGAAATAGTTATATTCAGTCTTTTCTCAAAAGGCATGTGTAAAAAATTGGTAGTTATATTTTCTTGTTTGAGAAACATGATATAGTTATTATGTTACAGAAAAAGATGATAGTTATTTTACTATAAAAAGTCTTTACTTATTGTGCTATAGAAAACACCAGGAATACCTGATCAGCTATTTGTTCAGTTACTTATGTTTTGAATATAAAAAAATATTTCTAGATTCTCCTTTGTTCCCTCAGATTGAAATTATATTATACTTTCTTTTTAATGAATTAGGCAAATTTTGAATCATGATTGTTTTGCATTCAGTGTCATCAATGGCTTCATCCCTTCAGACCCCCAATTCCACTTTATAGACTATATCGACAAAAGAGGATTTCTTTTTTTAATGTATTCTATTATATAAGAAGGACAGACATGGTTGTATCAATTCGTTGAAGTAATGAGGAAAAGATCTTCAGAGAAAGGCATACCCATGCATTAGCTTAACATTCTACCACATGCAGGCTAGCTTCCCTAACAAATCTGGCTTACAGCCACATCACATTGAAACACCTATTCCCATACAATAACTGAAGTTAAGCAACATCAAGCCTGGTCAGTACCTAGATGGATAACCACTTGGGAATACCAGGTGCTGCAAACTTTTTTCTTACTTTTTAATAACATAATCAAGATGGTGACATTCACACAGCTTGAAACAAAATGTTAGGATGGAAATCCACATCAGTAATGGAAAGAGCAATAACAGTTATTGGATTTGAGAAACCAGTTTTCCTGAAAATTTGGTTTAATAGAAAGATTTTATAAATTTCAACTGAAGATATCACTAGCTGTTCCGTCAATGAATACTGAATATGTCCATATAAGGAAATATCTAATATGACTATTACTATTCCCATTTATTGATCTATCTTTTTCCTTTCTCTTTTCCTTACCACTTCCATAATGGTTATAATATAATAGGATTATTTTTGGTACCATTTCCACAGAGTTACCTTTTCACTCCTTATTTTCATTTTTTTTAATGAAAATCAGGAATAACCTGTGGGTTTTTAAAATATTTTACAAATATTATGTAAAACAAATAACTTTTTTCCTTGATCATAATAATGGCTGGAATTATGCTTTCAAGGTCTAGAACACAAAGATTTGGACAATACTTACTTACCTTGAATCCAGAAATATATTTTTTTGCATGTAAACAAACAAAATGGTGACAAGAAAATTAAAGAAACATTCTTTGTCTCATGGCATTAATTAATGTATATTTGCATATACGAGAGGAGATAAAAAGCCTACAGTTTAATAAGGAGTACAAGAAAGATTAAACAGTAGGTTTGTTTCCTTATAAGAAACATGTTCATATGTGTATATCTAACTCTGATCATATCTAAGTCTATTCATATCTATCTATCTTAGTCTATTCATGTCTATCTATCTCTAGACATACTAACTCACACACACATATATATATATATATAGATATATATATATATCAGTCTATTCATATCTATCTATCTCTAGACATACTCACACACACACACACATATATATATGTGTGTGTGATTTAGTATGTCTTGAGATAGATATGAATAGACTAAGATATATATATATATATGTGTGTGTGTATATGTGTGTGAGTTAGTACATCTAGAGATAGATATGAATAGACTAAGATATATATATATATATATATATATATATATATATGTGTGTGTGTATGTGTGTGTCAGTATGTCTAGAGATAGATAGATATGAATAGACTAAGATAGATGGATATGAATAGAATTAGGTAATATCAGAGCTAGATATACACATATGGACATATAGATATATAAATATGAACATACTCAGATATATCGATAGATAGAAAGATAGATATGAACAGAATGAGATAGATGTGCGTGAGTCTGTATGTATATGGAAATGAATAGACTAAGATAGAAAGATATGAATAGACTAAGATAGATAGATATGAATAGACTAAGATAGATAGATAGATATGAATAGACTTAGATAGATATGATCAGAGTTAGCTATATAGTTATGAACAGACTCAGATAGATAGATAAATAGATAGAGATCGAGTGGTAAAGTATTAACCTAAAATTAATGTAAATATTTTCAGTCAAAATATCAACTCAGTTCACTTTCATATTCTGATTGAGAATGTTTACATTCATTTTATACTAACATTTTTAAGAAAGGCATGAAACCATATCTCCTTATATAGATATATAGATCTAAATACCAGGCATATGTAGGTATTGAAAGGGATGATGGCTACACATGCAGCAATGGTAATTTGGAAAAGAAGAAAATTATTAAAAGAGATGACGGAATGGAAAGAAAACAAGGAAAGAGTCCAAAGGTTAGAAATGCAGCCAAAAATATGAGAAAAAAAAAACATTCTGCGGAATCTGAATGAAATGAGCAGATGGAAATGGAGAAAAGAAAGAAAAAGACAAAAGAAAATTTGAACCAAAATTCAAAAAAGAAAATTGAAATGAAATAATGATGAACGCCTATTGAACAATTTTTTTTTCTAATAACCTTAAAATTATTCTCAACTTTGTGCCAATAAATGAATGCTTAGAAAATTTAATGAAGCTACAATTAGCAATGGTTTGTTGACTACTTAAAGACCCACCTAATCAAACCTGATTATCCCTGCAATATCTTTTGGTGGAAAAGTAGGATTTCAACAGATTCACAAAATAAAAACCTGTTTTAAATGAGTTCAATGTATTTGCTAAAGTGCCAACTACTAAAAAAAAAAAAGAATATTGGGGATTATGGAAAATGGTCATCCAATTCTCTTGATGCTGTCTTGACATAATTTTCTCTTTAATAAAACTGATATTTATTTTATTTCTCCAATTGGTGTAAATGTGAACAAAGTCATTTCTAATGAGTTTTTTAAAAAAATACTTGTCATTGCAGCAGACATCAGGCCATTCCCATTACCCTACATCTCCTAGTGCAAGAAAGTTAGTAATTATACATCACCATTTCATACAAAATGTGACACAAGGCCAATTATTAGCATTAGATTTTTCTAAAAAATAAAATCTTACGTTACTCAGTTTTTAGTGTAGACATCAGGGTATGCTCCTAATCCTACACCACAAAATCATTTTTATCGACTATTCCACCCCCTGTTCTATCATTCATTTACTTAAGTATGTTTTCTTCTGTCTCTCTTGCCTTCAGTATGTCCTGTGGGTGTTAAATTCACCAAGCCATCTTTCCTTATGGGTCTAAGAAATTTAAACTGTCTTTTTCTTATTCCCAGTCTAAGATTATTTTTGTTTCCATTTTGCTTAAAACATACTTGTTGCTCCCATATTCTATCTAGAGAATTCTCACCATCCTTCTGTAGCCTCAAGTCTTATCTTTAGCTGTGAGAAAATTATTCAGTATTAACTGTCATATAGGAAGATTTGTATTACATAGAAGTTCAGCACTCTTTGTTGTTTCTAATGAAATTTTCCTTTTTCTTAATACTTTGCTTAGCTTTTGGAAGGCATCTTTTTTCTTTTACAATGCAGTTTTCAGTATCACATTTTTCATCCTTTGTCAAAACACTTTCCAGATATTTAAATTTTTGTACTTACTTGATTTTGACATACCCCAGTTCGTAGTTTATATCTTGAGTTAGTACAGGAAAAATTTTATCAGAAGTATCCCTGAGCTGACTCCAGAATAAATGGTAGATACTGGTTCATCTGTCATCGTCCAGTTGCTCTCCAGAGGGTATCTTCTTAGTTATACTAACAATATTGAGATAAACACATATTAACCAAACCAAATAAAAATCACACCTTTCGACAGGTAAGCTTGTCTATCTGATGCTGATTGATTGGCTTGTCAGTATGTACTGACTGAACTCTCATCCTTTCTCCCAGCATCCCACTCTGATATCCTTCTCTTTTTCTCAAGTTCATTTTCTCTTCACGTCTTTGATCTTTTTGACATTCATTCATTGTCTTCACATAAAAAAAAACACAACCAGTTATTCAATCTCATTATTTACACATTCATTCAGGTGTTATTTCTTTCTTCATTCATTGAATTCATTTCTTTATTCATTCATCTCTTAATTGTTTCTTGTCACTGTTCTGCATTCTTTTTACTAGCCATTACAAAATCTACTAACATCTTTATTCCATCAGCTTGATTTAGGTGCTACTGACCTACCATATTGTCAGTGAGGAGATTTTTTCTTTTGCACATCTTATCCAATAATCTTTTCTAATTTTTCTTCTTTTGTTTTAGATCATTTTTTTTCTTTTCTTTATCTCTCCATCCATTGTGCAATCTTTCTTTCAGTTTCTTTTTCTTGTGTTTGATTTTGCTTTCTGTTTAGCTCTTTGCTTGATTCATTTTATTTTTAAAGATTCTTTCTATTTTCTTCTTTCGTTTTTTTAGTTTCTCACTCAAATTTCTTCTGTAGAAATTCCTTGCATTTCTTAAAATCTTTTTTGTCTTTATTTCTCTTTTCTTTCTTTGTCTTTCTTTTCACCTTTCTTTCTTTGTCTTTATTTTCCCACTTTTTTCCTTTTACCTTTCTTTCTTTGTCTTTCTTTTCACACATTTTTTCTTTCACCTTTCTTTCTTAGTCTTTCTTTTCACACCTTTCATCTCAATTTTTCATTAGTAAAAAGTATCATTTTACTACAGTAAAATGATCTGTAGTCCAATCTCCAGTCATCTGACCTTCTTTAAATTTGACTAACATTCCATCAAAATCTTCCACCAATATTTACTATTTGTCTTTATAAATTAATGATATATAAGAATCATAGTCAGTAAGGGTTGTCGATAATGTAACTGGCCATTTAGGATATCTTAAGAACTGACCTTGTTCTAACTTGATAACCAATCAAAATAAATCTTACTGCGCATGCATCAATGGACACTCTTCCATGGAGCTGCTCAGTCAATACTGTTGAATGAGCTTGCATACAGTGTATTTTTGGCAATACATTGAATCATCCAGATTTGTCAGCTTTCTTGTGTCTAAAATTATCATACTGTAGATGAGATTTAGGAGATTGTAATAAGGCAGCTGATGGTGATCTGAAAAGTAGACTTTTCATACTGCTTTGAAACATCTCAGACACTACGACAAGTGTGTATAGAATTTAAAGATGATGAACGCTTTAGGTAGGCCAGTTTCTTATTCATATTAACTGACTGAATATTTTCAGAGCAGATGTCATATAATAAAAAAAATCAGTAGAATTTATTGAATTTTTATCAGGATATCCTTTAATCTCAGTAAGGTATGGCATCTGATAATGTGTGACCAAACTCAGAATCTAACCTGATTCTGAATCTATAGAATTATAGTTCTTATAGAACATGAAACTTGGACTATCATATTAGATATAGATAATCCTGCAATGAGGATGTGCAGGTAGTGTAACAGATTGCAGAAAGTAAAATTAGCAAGCCGAGTTCAAATTCTGGGCTTTCATTCACTTTCATACTATACCCTTGAGAAAGGTATGAATCCGTTTCTTTTAACAACCCACTATAGATTAAATAGCAGGAACTCTCCAGTCCAGTGTTTGGTGTGATGAATAGTCTAGGCAAAAGGCAGCAAAAAATGTAACACAACACATAAGGACAACA